CACATGAGCTGCTGCTGCGACTGTTGGGACGCCGGCTTCACACTCACAGAGCCCAGGTGCGGGACGGGCTGGGGCGCAGGAGGCTCAGAGGCAGCAGAAGGAGGGGTTGCAGCAGGCAGGACTCCTGGGCTGGAAGGCGGCTGAGCCCAGCAGCTGGACCCCGCAGCCTGGACGGCCGCACCTGCTGGGGTGCAGGTGGTGGGTGCAGGAAAGTCCACTCGGAGCCTCGGTGGTGCCACCAGGTCCTCTGGAGCCAACTGCACTGGGGAAGCTCAGGAAAGAAGAGACGCAAAAGCCTCAGCCTGGGGCAAATGTGTCCTCCCAGTTCCTGCTCCACTCTGGCTCTGGTTATGCAGATGGTGCAAACTTGACCTACAAACTCCCAAACGCAACGTGTGGAAATCAGACACGCTCCCTGCGATGTGGCTGCCCCGCCAGGCAGGGTCAGCCCGGTGGCCTCCCTGAGGGTCCCTCTGCACACACGTTAGAATGAGGGGCCTGGAAGCAGGCGTTTTGAAGTCGTCTGGGGGTGTTTTGACTGTTGGTTGTTTCAGCTTCTCGGCTCCCTCCTCCCGTGAGCCCAGAGCAGGTGCGGGGTCCGGGTCTCGCTCCTGCACAGAGACCTGGGGGGGCCACCACGGGCTGGAGGCGCCTCTCCCGGGGTCATTCTTCTCCAGTTTAGGTGCTTCCTCCCATCTGGGCCCCCGCAGCGGTTTTTCTGAAGCAGCCGCTGGTTCTCACCGGCATCTCCCACCCCTGCTGCGTGAGCGCTGCATTTCCACTTCTCGCAGCGGGTGTTCTGTGTGCTGGGAAAAGTCACGGGGGTCCTGAAGCCAAGCCCCAGGTCCCCGGGAGCCACAGAGCAGGGTGTCCTGAGCATACTCCAGGGCTCAGGAAATCACAAACAGCTCCCAATCCACTGATGACACCACAGAACTCCAGTTAAAAAAAAAAAAAAAAACTGTGAAGGACAATATAAAAAATAAGTGTAAGGCAGGCGGGGTGGCTCACACCTGTAATCCCAACAGTTTGGGAAGCTGAGGTGGGCGGATCACCGGAGGTCAGCAGTTCAAGACCAGCCTGACCAACATGGAGAAACCCCATCTCTACTAAAAATAAAACAATATCTGGGCGTGATGGTACACACCTGTAATCCCAGCTACTCAGGATTGAGGCTGGGGCAGGAGAATCGCTTGAACCTGGGAGGTGGAGGTTGTAGTAAGCCAAGATTGTGCACTCCAGCCTGGGCAAAAAGCAAAACTCCGTCTCAAAAATAAAAAGAAAAAAGTGTGCATTCTGCTTTATGACAGTAAACGAAAATTTCCCAAAAACTTTCACCTTAAAACTATCAATTACTTGGAAACATCATAAAGAAATAAGTGACACTGGAATTTTTTTGTAAATGTGACTTTGTGCTTTTCTCTGAAAAGAGAACATGGGGGCTGGCCCTCACCCTGCTGACAGCTCCCCAAGGCCTCGAGGGATGGAGCCTGAGACAGGGGCCCTGTCCAGGACAAACCCTGGGGGCTTCACTTTATGCATCGACCTGAGGGCACCAGGTCTGCGAGGGACAGTGTTTCTGAGTGTGGCTGGGAGGGTGTTTCCAGACAGACAGACTGGCCTCCGAATTGGTGGACTGGGTAAGTGCTGAGTGCTGGGTGTCACCCAGCCCTCCACCGGCCTAACCGGGCTCGGTGGGGAGGAAGGTGGAGTGGCCTCCGATTTCCCGCCTCCTGCTAGGCCCAGGACGCCTCATCTCTTCATCTCTGGCCCGAGGTCTGGAATTTGCACCAACCTCCTTCGGCGTCGGGCGGACACTGAAGGCTTTCCTGGGTCCCCAGTGGCAGACCGAGAGGCCGCTCAGCCGGTCGCCCCTGAGCCAGCCCCTCACAATAAATAAGTCAATCTGTGTATGGACTGGGCAGAGAGACCCTAAGCATCTCTGCGCCTGCCTAAAGGGTGTCTGTGTCGCTGTTTTGTCATACACATTTCCCCTTCGCTAAGTGCAAAGGCTGCCATTCCTGAGACACAGAAGTGGGCAAACCCAGGGACTCCCAGATGCTCCGATGCCCCTGCCTTGGCACCGGCCCCTCCCACCCACGAGGCTTCCTGGGAGCAGCCATCAAAAGAAGAATCCAGTCCTGACGGGAGCTGAGGGCAGAGGATACGCAGCCAGCTGCCCTCCAGACTCCCACGCCGCCAACAGCTGCCCCCGGTCGGACAGCTCTGCCAGGGACGGTGCCCAGAGGGCGGTGCGTCTTTCTGGGACTGAACCGATGCCAAGCGTGGGTGTCACCGAACCCATATAGCAGAGAGCAGCAGACAAGACACAGGCGCCCACCCCCGAGAGGACAGGCCGAGAACCCTGACAGACAGGAAAACCCGCGGGTCTCTGAGAAATGCTTGGAAAAGTAAGCTCTTTGTGATGTGCCAAGCGCTGTCCTTGCTTGAGAGATTGGCACTGCATTTGGGGGCCCTCATGTGAGCAAAGCGCGGAGATACCTGGCACAATACCCGAGCCCACCTGTGCTTCACCAGGGGAACCGAGCTTTGTGATTTTGTTTTCCCGCTGGGATTCCTGACGTCAACGCCTCTGGGGGTCAGCGTCTCCGTCTCCTGCCTCCTAACACGTACCTTCACGTCTGCTTTTTCTCTGCCTCTGCTGGTTTGCTGGTTCTTCCTTTTGCCGTTGCTTTGTTTTCGTGCCATGAGGGTTTAAAGGGCTGCCTTTGGGGTTAAGCGTCCTGAGAGCAAAGCTCTAACACCCACGCTGCTCTCTGAAGCCCCTCCAAAAACAGCCAGGTCTCAGCTGTCAGATGTTTTCCAGCTGTTACTCGGTTTGAATCCGACACCAGCCCAGACACCAGAGGAGATGCAAAGTCCAGGGTAAGCGGCTGGGCCTGGCCCTCGCTGGTGGGCTCCGTGCAGCCCCCCTCCTCATTGGCTGAGTTTCCACTCATGGAAATCACTGCCGGCGTCCTCAGCACAGGCAGACAAGGCTGAGTTCAGTTCCTTCCTGATTGACTTTGCATTTCTAAGCTCTGGAACAAAGGGCAAGGCATCGATGGGCAACTTCTGTGGCCCTCCAGGGGCAGCTTCCCAACAAAGCACCCAGCGCCCACATCACGACAGGCCACTCAGGCTGCAGCGTCCACGCCTCGCAGCTGGAAGCCCCCAGCCAGAAGCCACATCAAGCTCCTCGAAAGAGTCCTCAGCCCCTGTTCGTTGCAGCCTGAGCCGAGCCCTCACCCTCTCTGCCTGAAGCAGATGACGTGTTTGCAGGGAACGAGCCTATGGGTGTCAGCTGCCTGGTTTTCCCCACACTCCTGCCACCCTGTGTTCTTCCCCAGCAAGAGGGAACAGTGGGGGTTAGGGGGAGAAATGCCTCCAAGGCCAAGCTGAAGAACAGAGCGCCCTGAGGGAGCAGCCAGGCTGCAGAAATGGCTCCATCCACCCCAGAGGCCCCGAGGAGCTCTCAGGACAGTGGCTTAGGGGCTCAGGCAGCCCAGGACTGTGGAAGCCTCGTTCATTCCGAGACCTGCTGCCTCACCCCCAGAGTGTGGCCCTGGATCCCTTGTGTAAACCTCATCCTCAAGCACAGAGCAGGACCAACCACAGAGACATGGAGCCAGGCCAGGGCAGGCTCCACACATCCCAGAGAGCACTGACCTGGAGCAGAGCAGAGCAGGCTCCCGCCCCTGGGTGAAATCAGGAGGAAGGCTCTGGAAAAGACTGCTGCTGTCGGCACTTGGCACTTTCCCTTTGTCGTGGACAGTTTTTTTTTTCTTTTTTTTTGAGATGGAGTCTTGCTCTGTCTCCCAGGCTGGAGTGCAGTGATGCCATCTCAGCTCACTACCACCTCCACCTCCCAGGTTCAAGCGATTCTCCTGACTCAGTCTCATAAGTAGCTGGGATTATTGGCATGCACCACCACGCCCAGCTAGTTTTTGTATCTTTAGTAGGGACAGGGCTTCACCATGTTGTTCAGGCCGGTCTTGATCTCCTGACCTCAGGTGATCCACCCGCCTCCACTTCCCAAAGTGCTGGGATGACAGGCGTGAGCCTCTGCGCCTGGCCTTGGACATTCCTGATGGCTGCAGATTGATATTCTAAGACGGCCGGTGTCCCAATTTCTGAGTCATAGATGCACAAGTCCAAAATAATTGAACAGTAAAATTTTCAGTCAGCCTCACTCTAGCATATCAAATCGCAGAACTGTTTTTCAGTGTCACCTGCCACGTTCAACCCCATTGCCAGGTTTACATGTTTCAAACCAAAAGTGCCCCATAACCGGGCGTCGAGAGAGGCCCACTGAGCCAGGCACGTGGGCTCACGGCTGTAGTCCCAGCACTTCGGGAGGCGGAGGCAAGAGGATAGCTGGAGCCCAGGAGCTCAAGACCAGCCTGAGCAAGCTAGTGAGACCCCGCCTCTACAAAATATACAAAACTTAGCCAGGCATGGTGGTGCACACCCATAGTCCCAGCGACCCAGGAGGCTGAGGCAGGAGGACCGCTTGAGCCCGGGAGGTCAAGGCTGCAGTGAGCTGAGATCGCACCATGGCACTGCAGCCTGGGAGACTGGAGTGAGACCCCGTCTCAAAAACAAGCAATGGACTCACCCAGCATCAGAGCCAGCTCCATCTGAGAAACATGGGCCTCGCTGGTGGGGCCACAGATCACCCGACACAGAGAGTTAGAGGCATGTCGGGACTTAGATTCTGAAACAACTAAAAGCCCAAAACGGGATCCGTCCTCAGTTTCTGCTTCTGCCAACCCAGGACACTGCTCCAGGAGGCGGAGCGGGTAGAGTGTGATGGAGCCAGCCGGGGGCCACCTGAGGCCTGATTCTGAGAGCAGCCTCCTCCATCCTCCCACGCCAGGAAGGCGGGGACCCCGATGCTCCAGGCTGAGCCAGCTCCTCTGCCGTCGGGTGCTGGAGCACAGACTCCTCCACAGGAGCGGCACGAGGCGTCTGAGCTCTTCTCCATTTTCTGTTTCCAGAATGTGGGTGAAAGCCTCACTCTGAAGAATCCTGGAAGAGTAGCATACGATGCAGGCGGGATAAAGATGTTTTGGGAGAAAAAAATCGAGCATCACGCAAGACACCTGCAGAACGAGGACATGAGGGTTCGCAGGAGCGCCCTGAACAAGTGAGTCGGGGTGTCCCGCACAACAGGGACCACGTACCCGAGCCACATTTGCCACCCAGGGCAGAGCCCAGCCAGCACCGTGCGGGGACACAGCCCTAGGCCTCTACCCACCATGAACCCCTCAGCTCCAAGCCTGCGAAAGGGGCGCACCCCAGGGGGAAACTGACAGTCATTGACTCACCTTAACAATCACACTCTCAATAGCAAGTGGGAAATGGCAGGACACCATGTAGCTAGGAGCCCAGATCAAACACCCTATCCCAGCGACCCCATGCTCCAATACCCACGGCCAATTCACCCACACCCTCTTCACCCACACCCCAACACCCAAACCCCCTTCACCCACACCCCAGCACCCACACCCTCTTCACTCTGCCATCTCCCTGACACTCCTTCCAGGATCACAGGAAGTTTTCCAGGAGAAAATGTCTTTCTCTGGCTTGTTTTTCTGAGGATCGACGCCCTTGAGTGACGTGTCCGTACTTACACTCTTCCTCCTCCTTGCAGACGTGTTCAGGAGGCAGACACCAAGCCAGCACGCCATTCTCTCCTAGGGCCAAGGCCAGGGGTCTCCAGGTGCTGAGTGGGTGACCCTGAGCCGACCCAGGGTGTGGCCACTGCTCAGGGACAGCTGGGCGGGAAGACCCTAGTGCTGCTGATCCTCATTTGCTGCCAAACACACCTTCACACGGCAGCTGCTTCCGGACACTTCAGGCAGCCCTCAGTGCTCAGGCCCTGAGCCGGGGAGCCATGGTGCCCCTTCCTTAGTCCGAGGCAGCCCCACAGAGCTGGGGGTGCCCCTCTCCACTCACCAGCCACACAACTGCTGGCACGGACCCAGCACAGACCCAGCACCAGGCAGGTGCCTGGCAGACGGTGGGGAAGGAGAGGTCTCACTCCGAGTGCCTGCCCTGCACTTCCCGGGCTTGGGCCTGCTTGCCTCTGTGTGTCTCTCCGTGTTCCTCCATGTGACTCCGTGTGCCTTCATGTGCCTGTGTGCCCACATGTGCTTGTGTGTGCCTGCGTGTGCCTCCGTGTGCCCGCCTGTGCCCACGTGTGCTTGTGTGTTCCTGCATGTGCCTCCATGTGTCTTCGTGTGCCTTTGTGTGCCTGTGTGTGCTTGTGTGTGCCCGTGTGTTCCTGTGTGTGCCTCCGTGTGCCATGTGTGTGCCTTGTGACCTGGTGTCCTCTGGCCATTGCCCGGGTGCAGGTGCCAGGAGTGGGCTTGGCCCAGAATTGTGCGTCTGTGCTTCCTCCTCTGGCACCTGAGGTGGAGATTGGGGGCAAAGGCAAGCACTGGGGTCTCTCAGCCCAGCAGAGTCTCGGTTTGCATAACCCTCTTCATCTACCCACACAGCCCGGTTCTGCCCATGCCCCGAGGCCAATTGCTGCTGTGAAGGAGGTCACTCTTAGGGCTCCCATAGAGCAGCCTAACTTTCCTCCTGCATGAAGCCTAGTGTGCTGGGGTGATCCCTTGGGCCAAGCCCACCCCGGGAAGCCACCATGAGAGAGGAGCAGGCCCTGTGCGGGAGGCCAGCCATTCACAGCCCCAGGCTGGGGTCCCTAGAGTCCCCGGTGGAGGGAAAGAGGTGGCCGGCTCCATCACCACAGGCCTGGCTATCCTGGCAGCCTCTCTGGGATAGGTAGCCAGCAGTGAGGGCCAAGGACTCCAGGCCTGAGGGCATGTGTCTGTGGGACAGTGGCAGCTGCTGATGCCCTCGCCCGCTGACCCCTCACGCATGGGGTGTCCTGGGCCCACAGCCCTGGCCTGGTGAGGGTGAACGTGGCTGCTGCTCGGGGGCCATCGCCGTGGCCTGGTGAGGGTGAACGTGGCTGCTGCTCGGGGGCCATCGCCGTGGGGCCAGCCATCAGGGCCACACTGCCCGCCACTCAGCAATGCCATCTCACCTGGGCCCTGGGTATCTGGGACAAGTGTCCTCATGAACGCAGCTCACCCTTGGCTGGAGCCTGGCACCCACCCCACTCTCCAACAGCTAAAGCCAAACACACTTGAGGCTGAATGAAGCAGGAGCCGTGGGGAGGTGGGGATCTGCCCAGGTCTGGGGGAGGCTGAACCTCACCTTGACCAGGCCATTCCCACCACCAAGTCCCCCCATGTGTGGGGCTGAGGTCACAACACAGCACCATCCACTGTGGCCCGGCCAAGCCGGTGAGGCCAGCCAGGCAGGCGAGAAGGAAGTGGGCACCCGCAGACGGCCGGGCGGGGCACAGACAGGTCCCAGGCAGCCACAGAGACCGCCCCGTCCTGCAGGAGGGTGCCTGCCGCTCTGTGAGCAGACCAGAGACGGGGCTGCAAGAGCTCCAGTTCAGGCTCAGTCTCTCTGGGGCTTGGAAGCTTCCAGATGTGGGGGCCCAGGCTGCCTCCCAGGGCACACAGTTTTTCTCTCCTGTGAGGAGGGTCCTGTGTGAGACTCCCCCACCCCACTGCTGGGCAGCAGCCTAAACTGAGGCTGGCCACAAGGTCCCAGGGCCCTGGGGGACCTGGGATCACCTCAGGTGATCCACCCACCTTGGGCTCCCTAGCATTGTAATCCAAATCCTGCAAGGTCACGGCTGCCACTGGGCAGGGACGCGGTGACACCCAGCCCCACAGGGAGTGTTGCACTCCTGCTCTCACAGGTGCCCAGGTGCTGAGAGACGCAGGCTTGGCAGTCGCTCAGTTCAGAGAGCTTGACTCACAATGCCGAAATTACTGCCTGCCCCAGGCTCCGAGCAGGATGGGCTGAGCAGCTGGAGGGGAGGAACAAGATGCTGCAGGGCCCGGGGAGGCACCCAGGCAAGGCCCCGGCAGCCGCTGAGGTTCATACCAAGGACAAGGCAGCAGCCTGAGAACCGCGGAGCTCCAGACCCTGCGTAGCTTCTGGAGGCTCATGGAGAAAGCACACCGCCCGTGGGGTCCAAGCATCCGCGCCGGAGTTCACAGGATCTTCATCATGGAAACGGCCCGCACTTCCCTGACCCTGTAATAACCCACCTCAAGGCCACACTGTGGCAGAGACCCAGGGTTTTCCAGCACATCACAGGTGCCCAGTAAAAGTTCAGTCAGTTGGATTGAATGTTCCGTGCTAACTTTTCTTCCTGTCTTTAAGGTGTACACGTGGTAAACACTTGCCATGATGTCATAAACTTGCAACAAGCCATATCTCAGGGAGTTCTTCAGCTTCCTGACCACCTCCGCTTTGCAGATTTAAATGCAATTTTATTTCACCTTTAATCAAAATAAGTACATAAGTCTCAACTTCAGGATATGCCTTATACTGCATAAAGCTTTGTGCTTTTCCAAAATTCTTTTAATTATTTCATACTTAGTACCCAAGACATATCAGAAAATTAAATATGCTCATCTTTACAGTTGAAAGAGTTCAGGCTTAGAAACAGCAGCATCTCCCAAGGCCACAAGGGCTGCTGGAGCTGGGATTCACCTCCTGGGGCTCAGCACAGGCCTTGCTAGCCCCACTGAGTCTGCTGCCATGCTGGACAGGCCAGAGGGAGGGAGAGGGGCCGCCACGCTGCACGGAGGCCAGACGGTGGAGAACCCTCAGCTGCAGCCAAGGCCGCCTCTGATGCATCTACCGGCACCCCACGCCTCCCGTGCTCTTTTTTCTAGCCACAGGGATCAGCCCTCAGGACACAAGTGCTGGGGCTTCGGCCACCTGGGGCTGCTGTGGAATCTCACACCATCTCCCCAGTTGTAGATGCTTATGGGGTTCTGTTATGTTTGGACCCTCTGGTCAAGTTGTCAAAGATGAGGAAATTAGCCCCAGCTTTGCCAGTCATGGGTAACCCAACAAAGCACTAACCAGAAGCACAGCCAGGGCACGTCCAGGGCTGGGATGGCGGGTCAGCACCAGGCTCACCCTCACGGCTGGTGACCCGGGGATTCACAGGGAGGGAGGGAGGCAATTAACAGCCCTAAAGATAGTTCCTGAACAGAAACCACTTGCTAATCTTTGCAAAGCCCCAGACTGCCAAGGAGGGATTTTATCTGATGATATCCTCAGACACCATAACTGTCAACACTATAATAAACTGAGGTGGCAGTCTGGACTTTTGGGGGATGGAGGAGCACATTCGTGCTGCAATTTTCATCACAGTTTGGCCCTGCAGAACCTTCCAGAACAGCCATCCCTCCTGCTCACCTTACTCTCCAACAATACAGTCACCTTCCCATGAAGGGCAGAAGTCCCGGCCACGGGGCAGTGGGCAGTCTGCCAGCCACATCTTCTCTCTCTTTGTCATTAATCCTCAGGCAAAGCTGGGCCCAGCTCCCAAGGCTGGAAGGTGCCCAGTGCAGAAGAGAGACAGGGAGAGAAGGCAACCAGGGAGGTCGGGAGAGGGCAAGGGGAAGAGGTATGGCTGGTCGGCTTCCAGGGAGAGGAGAGGGACACCAGCCCTCAGGGCCCTGAACCTGGAGCCCCTCCTCACACCTGGCCCCTTTGCAATTCACCTGGGTACGGAGGGCATTTCTGAAATCTTAGCTCCTGGAGCTGAATTTCAGTGGAATGCCCATTCTTTTTATGAGGCACAGACAGGAGAGGACCTTGGTTGTACACCCAGTAGTTACAGGCATTCCCATGATCCACCTGCAAGACTCGTCAATTTCTAAAACCAACATCAAGGCCGGGCACATTGGCTCACACCTGTAATCCCAGCACTTTGGGAGGCCGAGGTGGGCAGATCACCTGAGCTCGGGAGTTTGAGACTAGCCTGACCAACATGGAGAAACCTCGTCTCTACTAAAAATATAAAAAACTAGCTGGGCATGGTGGCACACGCCTTTAATCCCACCTGCTTGGGAGGCTGAGGCAGAAGAATGGCTTGAACCTGGGAGGTGGGGGTTACGGTGAGCTGAGATCACATCACTGCACTCCAGCCTTTGCAACAAGAGTGAAACTCTATCTCAAAAAAAAAAAACCAACATCATTGCTCAAGCCTGTTTACTTTTAAAGCACAGGATGATACTAGCTTGCTGGTTTGTTTTTGTCCTGCCAAATCTTTGAAAGGCTTTCCATAACTCCTGTCAAATTTTGCCAAATTCAACACAGTTGGCATTTAAATATAACTTTGGGGTCTTGCGCTGTTCCTTTTTCATAGCTGCAGCTGGTTGGAAAGGCAGGAGGGGGTGCTCCTCCTGGCCGAGCTGCTCGGGGCTCCGGGGCTGGTCCTTGGCTGCTGGAGCCTCAGGTTCCCGTCTAGAATCAGTCCCCACGGTTCCTCATCCAGACAAGCTCTGAGGCTCAGAAGATTCATTTAGAAAATGCTGCAGTGCAGACCCCACAAGTTAATTTCTTAAAAAGGCAACCTTAATTTCTTTGAAAGATTGTCTAAAGTAAAAGTACTTTGTGTCATGGAGATTGTAATGTAGGCAGAAGTTAAACATATGACAACCATTGCAGGAAGAGCAGGGTTGGAGGAATTACACTGTTACAAGTCTCCTACATTTCATGGGAAGTGAACAGGCTGATAAATTAAAGATGTGTTTTCTTGTCTGTAGAATAACTACTAAAAATAGTACGTACTAACAAGAGGAACCACCCAGAGGCCCGCCGAGGAATAAAACAAAGTACGAAAACATTCCAATTCACCCAAAAACGCAGGACTGGAGGAACAGAGGAACAAAACATGACAAATAAAACACAAATGACAAGATAAGACACTTAGAGCAAGATGGGGATCTACAGCGGTCTCATCACTCATTCTATGAACGGCTAACGGAAAACTCCACATGCAAAGCAGGGATTGTCACCAAGACCCAGTTCCAGCTACAGACACCCACTTAAGACACAAAGACAGGTTGGGTGTTTGTAGGAGAGAGACGGACCCACAGTGGGCCAGATGTGGTCCCAGCATTATGGGAGGCAGAGGAGGGAGGATCTCTTGAGTCTAAGAGTTTGATCTGTAATCCCAACACTTTGGGAGGCCAAGGGGGGCAGATCACCTGAGGTCAGGAGTTCAAGACCAGCCTGAGCAACGTGGTGAAACCCTGTCTCCACTACAAATATAAAAAAGTTCACCAGGCATGGTGGTGGGCGCCTGTAATTCCAGCTATTCCGGAGGCTGATGCAGGAGAATCGTTTGAACCTAGGAGGCAGAGGTTGCAGTGAGCCAAGATTGCACCATTGCACTCCAGCCTGGGCAACAAGAGGGAAACTCCATCTAAAAAAAAAAAGAGTTTGGAACCAGCCTGGGCAACCAGCCTACAAAAAATACCAAAAAAAAAAAACTAGCTGGCATGGTGGCGCGCATCTGTGGTCTCGGCCACTCTGGACGCTGAGGTGGGAGCATCACTTGGGCTATGGTGAGCCGAGATGGGGCCACTGCATTCCAACCCGGGCAAGAGTGAGACCTTGTCTCAAAAAAAAAGGAAAAAAGAATAGAATAAGAAAAAGATACACAGCGCCAATTCTGTGCATAAGGAAGCCACCCTGGGGCACTAACATCAGACCAGGTGTCGCCCTTGAAGATAAAGAGGGGTGCTCTGTGATGACACCAGGGTCAGTCTCTGTCTCAATGACAGAAAAATCCTAAATGCCTAAAAAGCTAATAACAGTTTCAAAATATACGAAGTAAAAACTGGCAGAACTGAAAGAATGGAGAAATTCGCCATCCTGGTTGGTGATGTGACGGCTCTCGGGACTGCGAGCACAGCAGACAGGAGCCAGGAAGATTCGTGGGCGTGAAGAGACTGTCAGCCGGCTTCACCTCATAACTCAGAGAACACCCACCCCACAGTCACAGAACACACGTAATTTTTGCGTGTACACGGAACATTTACAAAGACAGGGCTTACGTTAAACAGTAGAAATAAGTCTAATTTTAAAAAGTGAGCTCCTGCAGTTTGTTCCTTGATCAAAATGGAATTACATCAGTAACAGCAAGATCCAAATAGGGGGGTTAAAAAATCAATACATAAATAACGAGATTTTTCTAAATAAAGCATGGGTCAAAGAAGAAATCCAAAGAAAATTAGCATAGTTCAAATATTGATCAAAATATTATACAAAAATTGTAGTGTAGTCTTAGAAGAAGGTTTGTGACTTTAAATACTGACAATATTTCAACAGAGAAGGCACACAGTGGTCAACACACTCATGAAAGGATGTTCAACCCATCCATCACAAGGAAATGCAAACACCTCACTGAGATCCACCAAACACTCAGTTCTGCTGCCAACTGTGACCTGGCCGAGCCTGCCTGCCTGGGGGTAGAGGCAAGAAGGAGGAGGCTGGGGGTGAGATCCACCTGTCCCAGGCAGGGGGGCAGAGGCAAGGAGGAGGCTGGGGGTGAGATGTGGGTAACCCTGCATCTGGGCACTGAGGAAGGAGAGCTAAGCAGACCCCTGGCATAATTAGTGCCTGAAGAATATCTTAGTTTATAGTGTTATTACTTAGTTATTTCCTTTATACAATCCTTGTATTAATTTATAGTTGGAACAATTAGTGCCTGAAGAATATCTTACTACTCGATTATTTCCTTTTATATATATATATATATATATATATATATATATATAATTATATCTTATTTATAGTCGAAGGAATGTCTAGAGCAGACATGGCGCAGAGCATGATTTAAGGGAAAAGCAGTTATACCAGGACAAGAATCTTTGGCCCCCGAGGTAGTGCCCCTGCCTAAAAGGGCACACACTACATGGCCGTCCAGCCCAGGCAGCAGCATTCGGTATGGTAAAGACACCCGCTGTATGGTAAGCTTGGAGCAAGAGTCACTCCTCCTGAAAAGGAGTTCCAGTACCTTGCATCCAGTTCTTGTGGAAAGCTAGCCTCTGGCAGGCAATCCTGTGAGTGTCCAAGGGCTTAAAACCCCTCCAGTATAATCTGGTCTTGGTGGCTGTGAATTTTGTCAGCTCTGTTGTTACCATGCTGGCTCAAAGCATCCTCCGGTAGAAATCACTGGAAGCTGCCAGCAGGTGGTAGACTCTGTCAGCTCTGTCGCTGCTGTGTGTCTCAAAGCATCCTCCTACAGATATCCTTAGAAATAGCCTGCCCACAGATAGGAGATGATGCACGCTGCACTCTCCTTACTGCACA